CTGGAGATTCCGTTTCTAATGCCGGAGAAGGATGGCAGCCCTGATTCGTTTCCTCATTTACAGCATGAACCGCCGGGTGCTGGAGGGCTAGCCCTCCGAGACACAATGCCAAACTACCGGCGAAGGCGTGCAGACTTCGCGATTTTCTGATGCAAATCAGTCTGTGTTCGCGGCAGACGGAACGGTGTTTTTTCAGCGACGGCAATGAAGCAGAATTGTGCGCGTTCTGCTCGCAGCTGCTGCTCGAGCAGCCAACGAACACGACCAAGTGCTGCAACACAGGGGAGCAGTGCTCTGCGTCGCTGATCCGGCGGACGCATCCGTGACACCCCGTTCGGCCGCAGCCCCGTTCCCAGCACGCTGGCGCGTGTATATCAGCGACGTCCAGGGGCACTTGACTAGAAGTGTCGAGCTCACAAACAGCTGCAAAGATATGCTCAAAGATCTAAGTTCAGTCTAATGTAATGTAGCCTAATGCAACATGAGGACATTGCGTGCTGAGTCGGTCGGCGTTCTTCAGTCACCCGCGGCCAACCGGGCACTGCGCCCCTGCCGTGCAGACTGACCCGCAGTACACGAGCCGCCGCACTCGTCTCGCAGGCCGCACCGCCACGGCAGCAAGAAGTGTCACATGTCTTCTTGTCCGCTCCATGCTACCACCTCCATTTGAATCCAATGGGAAGGCTGGTGAAATGTCATTCACGGTGGCATGTAGCCCAGCCACTTATGTAATTGACAGTGGATTGACAACAAGTGAATCTCAGTGTGAGCTAGGGTCGTTTCATCCTCCCGTCAATAGTGCAAATTTTTCCATCAGGCCAATGCCACACACCAGCACGAACGCAGCACAGCGTGCCCGACCCCTGCCGCCCCTGCTCTGCGGGGAGATCCCCGCGATTGTCGGCGGCCCTCCGCATCCGGGGCCGGGCTCCGGCGCTGCAGCCCAAAGCACGGGCCGGGCCGCGGCGCTGACGGCGAATCAATGGGGCGCGCGCGGCTGACCGCGGCCGGCCAGGATCACAGACGCCGCCGCAGCCGCGTCAGTCGCATTAGTTTAATCATGCGCCCGGCCGATAGCGGCAGTCAATGGTGGCGGCCGGCGGGAACAATCGCGGGGCCGCAGCGCCGATCGGCTCGGCGGGCCCTGCACGCGGCACGCGGCCGGGGCGCCAACGGAGGCGCCGATCGGCTCGGCCGGCCCGGCACGCGGCACGGGGCCGGGGCGCCAACGGAGGCGCCGATCGGCCCGGCCGGCCCGGCACGCGGCACGGGGCCGGGGCGCCAACGGAGGCGCCGATCGGCTCGGCCGGCCCGGCACGCGGCACGGGGCCGGAGCGCCAACGGGGGCGCCGATCGGCTCGACCGGCCCGGCACGCGGCACGGGGCCGGGGCGCCAACGGAGGCGCCGATCGGCTCGGTGGGTCCGGCACGCGGCACGGGGCCGGGGCGCCAACGGAGGCGCCGATCGGCTCGACCGGCCCGGCACGCGGCACGGGGCCGGGGCGCCAACGGAGGCGCCGATCGGCTCAGTGAGTCCGGCACGGGGCCGGGGCGCCGACGGAGGTGCCGACCGATCCGGGGAGGTCGGACGCGACAGGGAGCCGGGGACGCTGGCACGTGACTCAGCTTGAAGACGGCGGCCGGGGCAGACGGCCGTCACGTGTAAGGCGAGAGAGGCATGCCGTCCTCCCGACGCCCCTTACGGTGGTATTCCCGGCTTGCTCCGTGGTAGAATACCAAGCTTGAAATGAGGAGCGCCCGGCTCGAATCCCAGAAGTCCCTAGGGCAACATTTGGGCGCATACGCTTGCGTGGTCAAAGGCTGGCCACCATCTTAGAACTCAATAAAACATGACGACGAGCGGAGAAACGAACCGCCCAAATCCTTGTGTACTTCCTTGCACGCTAGGCAAGGGTGACAATCCAAGCAATTATTCCATCCGTCACTACCTCACGTGATGTCCTCGTTAATGCTGAGTGAACGACAATCCTCACCGGTCGTCCCGATGAAGTAACCAAGGCGTCATTGGTCCCTGGCCGGCAGGAGGCCAAAATAGCGCTGTCCATTGCCACATGGGGCATAGCGCTGTCCCGGCCCCGTTCATTACGTCCCCCGTCCAAAAACATGACTGCCACTGCCACTGCACACGGGGGACGTAATGTTTCTAGTACTTTTCGAGAAGCGTCATTCAGCGACGCTGTCACCCTTGTTTGACATGGCGTAAAAGAGCCGAACCGGTGTCATTACTGGCCATTTGGCTGTATTTCGCGGAAGTACAACCAACTTCAAGGGAAGCCGCCCGTGCTGATCGGCGTGGTCAAGACTAAAACTCGTGTGACCGGAAGTCGAGCGAGCCTATGAAGCCAGACCGGAAGTCAAGGGAGCATGGCGGTGTCACCGGAAGTGGATAGGGTGTAACCCAAGCGAACTGAAGTAGAGAGGACGATTGGCCGGTCCGGATACCACCCGCGCGTGCTGGCCGGCACCAGTGTGACCAGCGGGGCTAGGGACGCCTGATCTAGCGGCCTCACCCCGGGGAGACATACAGTCGGCCGACAATTGAGTCGGTGCCGGCTGATAGCGGAGAGTTATGGTCGCCGCCGGCCGCGCCGAATTCATTTGTGGCGCGGCCAACTGGTGCGCTTCATTGAGATTCCGTGTCTCGGCGCGCCATCTATCGCTGCGTCGCGCGCCAAAGCTGTGTCGTTTTTGCCGCCCTCTCCGCGTCAGTTTGCGTTTAGCTTAATACATCTGGAGGATTCCGTATGAATAAAACGGGCGAGGGAGCGGTGAGATTTGATAATAGTGTTATGGTATTGTGAAATGTGGACGGAAAGGGGATGCGAGGGTGACAAACATGGGAGGCGAGAGATTGCTGCATGTGTTAGAGAGAGAGAGAGAGAGAGAGAGAGAGAGAGAGAGAGAGAGAGAGAGAGAGAGAGGAGATAGAGAGGAGAGGAGAGAGAGAAGAGAGAGAGAGAGGAGAGAGAGAGAGAGAGAGAGAGAGAAGAGAGAAGAGAGAGAGAGAAGAGGAGAGAGAGAGAGAGAGAGAGAGAGAGAGAGAGAGAGAGAGAGAGAGAGAGAGAGAGAGAGAGAGAGAGAGAGAGAGAGAGAAGAGAGAGAGATAGAGAAGAGAGAGAGAGAGAGAGAGAGAGAGAGAGAGGAGAGAGAAGAGAGAGAGAGAGAGAGAGAGAGAGAGAGAGAGAGAGAGAGAGGAGAGAGAGAAGAGATAGAGAGAGAGAGAGGATATAGAGAGAGAGAGGAGAGAGAGAGAGAGAAGAGAGAGAGAGAGAGAGAGAGAAGAGAGAGAGAGGAGAGAGAGAGAGAGAGAGAGAGAGAGAGAAGAATAGAGAGAGAGAGAGAGAGAGAGAGAGAGAGAGAAGAGAGAGAGAGAGAGAGAGAGAGGAGAGAGAGAGAGAGAGGGAGGAGGGAGAGGAGAGAGAGAGAGGAGAAGGAGAGAGGAGAAGAGAGAGGGGAGAGAGCCTTTCGAGGAAGAGCCTCTCTCTTCTTCTCTAGTATAGGCGAGAGATAGTAGAAGGAGATAGAGCAGAGAGAGAGCGAGGCGAGATAGAGAGAGAGATGAGAGGTGCCTGCCTCCTTGATCCAGAGTGGCATGAGATGCAGCCTGATGTGCCTCGCTACGGGCCAATTCGAAGGCTCACCTTCATGTATCGTCCGTAGATGGCAGCACCAACGCGGCCAGCGTCCCCATGTCGTGCAACGCCGCTCAGTACGGTTAAACCATTAGTAAACACGAGGTCTTACTGCTCGCCAGCACGGCATCACTTATTCAAGACATGAAGTTCACCTGGTAACGAATACACACAGCGCCAGTGCCGGGTCGATGACGGTTTACTGTGGCGTGCACGGCAGCGCGGCCGCCCGCCGGGCCGGTACCGGCACCGAGAGCTCGCGCCGTCGTGACCCGGTCACCGACTGCGGTAGCCCTCACGGGTCCCAGCTGACCTCAGCTCCCCGCGCGGAGGCTATGGCGCTACGGGAGATTAGCGGGCTGACGGTACGACAGGCTCGAGTCCCATGACCGCGTGTGTAAAGAGAGCCTCTGTCTCGGACAACCGAGTTTGTTCGGTGCTGGCAGAGGGGTGAGGAGGGGAGGGGGTCTCCACGTCGGTCCTTCCTGACGGTGTTACGACAGTGTCATCAAGCGTTATGAGATTTTATGTAACCATAATAGATGATGTACGTGATGGTATTAGCGTGTCTGTAGTTTGAAGGCTGGATTCAACCCGCAAAATTAATTAATTATTCAGCTCCATGCCGATACTGGCATAGCCTGAATTGACCAATATGACTTAATAGATCCGTTTGAATTGCAATGTAACGGCAGTAGTTAAGTTTGGAGAGTTGCCGAGAAACTGCTCATCAAACCATGCGCATATGAATTTATGAAGTAAAATAGGAATGTTATGACGACCTTTGCATACCAGGCGTATTTGTATGTGATTTAATCCTGTAATTTGAGGCATGAGCTGATCATGGAAATCACGGAAAAATCTAAACGGCGGCTGAATGCCACAAATATTTTCGACATTAGCAGAAGACTGACATGTCAGTTTCACACGAGGCATTGTGCAAGGTTCTTAAGGCCAATCCACTGGGGCAACAATGCAAAGGTCATCGAGGACCTCAGAACAAAACTTTATGCCTTAAACATTTTGATGAGTATTCCAAATCCATGCCGCAGTTCCATAGAACATGTTTCAGGGCGCAGGGCAACTTTTTTGGCGCGCATTGCACACCCAAGACCATTCTGTGCAATCCACGTCGATCACATTTTGATATTTCTTACGCGTTGTATATGCCGGTGGTTCGGTGTATTTGTGAAGCTTATGTACCAGTTGCCAAATACCCGAATTCTCGGCGCATAAGGGAGCTGTGTTGAATAAATCTGACAAGTGGATGCTCTGATAACAGAAATCGTTACCCTTCCAGAGAAAACGCAAGCATACTTTTACGTCATGTATTCATGCAGCAAGGCATAAAGGGGATTGGAAGGTGGTTTTCAGCCATTATCAATACAGTAGTTCCGGAATATATCAGCTTGATAGGCATCATCCTCAGACGACCAGCTTTGCTTTGAAAGTAAACATTTCCAAAGAAACTTCCCACTTATCCGTCCATGACGAAAATATACACAGTTTCTGCGCAATGCTCCTCTTACACTCCGAGGCACTAACGCTAACATATGGCACGTGAGGACTCGCGATCCAGACAGGGCAGTTGCATAACCACAGGCTCGATGCAGAACCCGAAACACACACAGGCGTAGGCGCACAGACACGCATACAGACAGTGAGCGCGAAATCTTGTCGCGGCCCACGTCGGTCATGACGAACAGTCATCAGTGAGGGGCGCCATGAGCACGGTCTGAGCATCACCGACCAATCACACAATGTCAATGGTTGAAGGCAAATCACAGTTGAGAATGCATGGCAGGTGAGATGCCGCACGCCTCTAGCCAGGGTGGGCATGTTCGAAAATGACAGGTGAGATGCCGCACGCCTCTAGCCAGGGTGGGCATGTTCGAAAATGGCAGGTGAGATGCCTCACGCCTCTAGCCAGGGTGGGCATGTTCGAAAATGGCAGGTGAGATGCCGCACGCCTCTAGCCAGGGTGGACATGTTCGGAAATGCGCTGGCGATTTTATTCATAACATAGGCACGACACGGAATTCCAATACAAAACGCTGAAGAGGAGTGCGCTGATATATAAACTTCTACTCATTGGGCTGCCGTTTTGCGAGGCTGGAACGTTCAAAGAAATGCCTAAAACGCACGACATTAGAAATCCCTGTAGCACAGTCCTCTGATGGGTAGCAAAATCCACTGATCTCAGTCCAAGCCTACCTAGTCGTCACACGTCTGACTAGCTGAAAAGCTCTGAAGTATAGAATCGAAGGGCCCTTTTCGTCATCCACCATTGACGTATCCACGAGCCGCGAAGGCTTGTTTCTCCAAACATTAAGGCAGTCCGGCCCCCTGAATGCGGCGACAAAGCCACCAGCTGGTCAGGGTTGCTGGGAACCGGTTCAATACAGTACAAATTACCATCGACAGCGCTACGGGGATCTGGTGGGCCTCCTGTCCAAATGCCGTGCATGTATCAAGAGTCTTGCTGTGCGTTCCGAGTTGAAGCTTCAGGAGCCATTGCCCGCGTCCTGAATGCATAGAAGTATAGGAAATGTGGATGATAATACAAATTACAGCAATGCCTGGCACAGTATCTCCACATGGTGTTCTAGTACACTAACACTGAAAACTTGAGCAGAACACGATGCTCCGTGTGCCCGCGGCACCACCATACAGATTGCCTTGTCGGCACGATGCGATAATGAATGAAAATGAACCGACCGCCTGCCCGGCACAAGCTCAACTATATCATTTTCCTGCCTCTGCCATCGACTGAGCAGCCGCCATTCCCATGCGGAATGAGTCATCAAAGAAGCGTAAATGGTGTGATGCTCATTACACCAGCAACTCTAAAATCCCACAGACGCCGTGAATGAAATTCGGTAGAATGGATGGATGATGCTACTCGAAGAGTATTATCCATCAAGTCTGCGATCGGACGCGATTCCACCTAAAAAACACAACAGCAAATTTCCTCTTCAATCCCGAAAGACGTAACGAATTCATACGCTGTTGATATGAGAAGTAATGTGGCCTTGGAACCGACTTTTGTTGGCCATCCTCTTGTGCGCATGGTAAACCCCAGCGCGGTATATTACTAAGCAAGACCAAACTTCAAACACTCTGGGGTAAAATATAAACCATTTTCAACGGGTTTTGAGCATATGGGAGATATGGGGCCGCGCGCATGCGACTTCTGCACACTCACCGCGAACCATTTGGCCGAAGCTCCCACCGGGCAGGTGGCACACATCACGTGCCACAGGTCACACAGGTCAACCAGGACCACGAGCCGGATGACAGCACATAACCGCCGCGATCCTGCAGGCCACGGGCGCGCAGCCTTGACCTCGAGGCCTCAGAGTCCGCCGGGCGCGGTCCAACCCGGTCGCGAGGTCACTCGGGCCACGAGTTCACGCAGGTGACGCGGTCGCGAGCCTCACCGGGCGCGCGGTTTGAGGCGGATCGTCTTCTTTTTGGCGACGACGTCGTCGTCCTTGGCCGGCTCACCGTCGCTGCGGCTCAGCTTCGAGTCAATGAGGAAAGAGGAGATAAGCGGCAGACGCCACTTGCCCTTCTCGCTGGGCCGCGGCATGCCGTACAACAGCATCTTGTAGAAGCCGATCCGCGGCGGGTGGATGAAGAAGATGATGTCGCCGTCCACGTCCTTGCGCTTTACGATCGACTGAGGGGGCGCCGATGCGGGTCAGGGCTGGTGCAGGTCCAGAGGCGGCTAGACACGCAGGAGGCTGGTGGTGTGAACTGAACGACATGGTGCGCTTTGAGATGCTGTCGCTTGGAGCGGGCTTTGAGTCCGTTCAGCCTCGCGTGAATGTTATCAGTTCGTATCCGCTATTCCTTAGAGGGGGAGGGTGACTAAGAAATCGTCCCACAAATCAATGGGTTTTTCATTGATTCTCGCGGCCGTGTTTCCTTTCCGAAACTGAAACTGAGTAACGGACGAGCACCAAACCCCAAAGCAACATAGTAATATCACAAAATGACTTGCCCATGGCATCGGTTACCAGATGAGCCCCAACAGCCGTCAAGGCCCGGGGTCGGTTTCAGTGGCCTGAGATTATCACCAGTGACCCGAACTCACACAGCGTCAGGCACTCCCAGCTGCATCTATTACTCATCCGGCACTCGCCTTGGACTCGATCTCCAGCCCGTCTGCGTCGAAAATCTGCACCATGGTGAGCAGGTCGGTCTTGGTTTCCAGCACGAGCTGCTTGAAGCCGCCCCACGTCACGATAACAGGGCCGTCCTGGTTGAAGAGCGACACACCCATCTCGTAGAAGAAGCCGGTCGGCCCCCAAGGAATGTCGCTCACCGGCCAGGGACTGAACTGGCGCCGCGGCTGTGGGAGACGGGTAGCACGTCAGGAGATCGCAGAAAAGGAGTTCAAGGCTGAACTGGCGCCGCGGCTTTGGGAGACGGGTAGCACGTCAGGAGATCGCAGGGAAGGAGTTCAAGACTGAACTGGCGCCGCGGCTGTGGGAGACGGGTGGCACGTCAGGAGATCGCAGCGAAGGAGTTCAAGGCTGAACTGTCGCCGCCGACAGAGGAGACAGGCGGCACGTGAACAAGCTGAAATGGCGCCATATTCAAGAGACAGGCGACAGGCAAGGGGTTATCAGGGGAGCGGCCGAACGATCAGAGCGGCTGGGTGGGGGTTGTGGAGTAGGGGGGGGGGGGGCAAGCGGTACAGTGACAAGAGGAGTTGGGCTGGTCCGTTTCGCGACAGGAATTGAACAGGAGTAGAACATGCATGATTTGGTATGGACCAAAACGCAGATTGTCTAACCCTGGTGCTGCAGAGGAGTGTTACACTGTAGCAGCGAGCGACTGGTCTGATACCACGTCAGCTGGAAGGTGGCAGAGTGATACCATGATGGCCACGACACCTACGCCATTAAAACGCCTCTGCACGCGTGTGGATTGCGCTCGTGGGAGAGAGGACCGATAGCGGAGACACCAGCCGAGAGGAGAGCTGGAGAGAGCACACAATGTGCCCGCTTCTCGGACCACCCGCTGTTCGGACTTGGCGCGTCCGTGAGCACCGGCCTCTGGCCTTCCGGCTTCCTTGTTTGCTACTGGCGCAGGGGTTAAACGGCGCGTCAACAACGCATGCGCGAGCGGCCATAACGGCCCACTAAATCATCATCAACGCCGGCGCCGGAGCCTCCACCTCCTGATGAAGGAGGTGCGGGGTGCCTCATCCCATCACTCATCAAAGCGTGCGTACGTGCTCGGTTGGTCTGATGCAGAAAGCGACGCGACCTTAATTGAAAAAGCAAGCAGGTTGACGGAAAAATATATCGCAAACCTAGCCACAGTGAATAATTAGATGCGCTCTGTCCGACAGACAGACCAATCTTCAAGGCGCAAAGCAGGGCATCGGTACGATTCCCCAGACCCCAGCTCGGACAGTGTGCTTTGCAGTCACCACTAGTTGTGATCGTAGGTGACCAACGCCGCGGCGTGCAACACCCAGATCGCTCTGGCCCTGTCCAGATGGTCGACAGTGACCAGCCTGTCCTGGGTTGACGTGTCCAGATGATCAGCAGTGACCAGCCCGTCCTGGTTCGACGTAACCGAACACTCGGCCGATGCACAGTGTACGGCAGAGACGGGGCGCATCACTGCGCCCCGCCTCCGCCGGCCGCCACCCTCCAGCCGGTCGGCCGGTGCCCTGCGCCAAAGCCTGGCAGCGTGCACTGGGCGCGAGTTACACCCATGTTGCGCCCCGTGTTACGCCCCGTGTTACGCCCCGTGTTGCGCCCCGTGTTACGCCCCGGGCGTGCAGCAGGGCTTCGACGGCGCACCTTCTCGCAGTGCAGCAGGAAGGTGGCCAGGTGGTCGAGCGGCAGAGTCTCGTCGTCCATGATGTCCTCCTCGGGCCGGCCGTACACCTTGAGGAAGTAGGAGCCGCTCTCGGGCGGCTGCACTGTGAAGCTGGCCAGCCGGCGCTCTGAGCCGCGCAGCTGGCAGAACACGAACCCGTTCAGCTCGCTACTCTCGATCTGCCAGGCGCACGGGGTGGGTCAGGTCAGGTCAGGTCAGGTCCAGGTGCACTGGTTATCGGGTGTCATCACGAAAAGCCACTGCCAACTCCAGGCTCCAACGTGGGCATGCCACGGCGTCCATTTAAAAACGAAACGGACCCAAGCAGCCATTTCCCTGGCCAACGAAAAAGACGCGGCGCGTGCCTTGTCGTTCATAATGTATCGTCATATAGCGTTTCTCTAGATTACCTGCCATAATACCACGTCATACAACGTTATTCCAAATCACTTCCTGTCGTAACACCACGTAATATCAAGTTCTTCTAAATCGCCTGCCTCAACGCCATGTAATACTGCGTTCTTCTCAAACGGCCTGCCTGAACACCAAGTAATAATGCGTTTTTCCATCTTGTCCACCATACTGCCACTACTGCCACGTAAAATAACGCCCCTCTAAATCGCCTGCCGCCTGTCTACCCAGCCGCCACGAGTTGGCGTCGCGGGCCGGGTGCCGTGCCGCCGCCCCGTCACGCCCGACCGTGCTGTGCCGCCTGACAGTTGCCGACGGGCAAGCGGCGTTACTGCAAGCCAGCGCGCCTCTGCCGCGCCGCGCGGCGACATGTCAGAGCGTTCGAGGTGTCACAGGCGGGGCGCGCCGCGGGCGCCGCGGGCGCCTCGCCCGCAGGGGAGGGGCGCTTAAATCACGGCGAGGTCACGCTCCTAGCGCGCCTCAGAGTCGGGGGGGGGGGGGGGAGGGGGACGGCACGGTGGCAGACGGGCCGAGGCGTGCGGTCTGGGAGGATCGACCGGTCGACCTTGGCTCTGAGGTGTCCAGGTCAGGTCGCAGTCCGAGACCATGGGCCGCAGGCCCACGGCCACGGCCAGGGACGGCCAAGACAGGTGAGGTTCGCGCTAGGCTGGTGGGCTGCTGTCAGATTCAGTGCAGTGGTGGGATGTCGTCAGATTGAAACGGATGCGCCGAGGGAAGCGGAAGCGGTGTTGAGCACTGCTCATTTTATTGGGATGGCCGAGTCCGGCGCGCCTGGTAAGCAACTCCCGCGTTTGTAAGCTGTGGTCCGTGTCGTGTTTACTCACACTACTACACTACTTTTTGCTCACATTTTTAATTGACGTCGGGGGAGGAGCAGTAAGCTGAGCGAGAACAAGTTGATTGGTTCGTGAGACCTTCGTGACGTGGCTTTGTGGCGTAGTCGACCATGCTATCAACGGTACCTCTCACCACTGGACTTCAATGAGCACAAGGGCCGCCTCATTATGAGCATGGCAGCAGGCCGAGCGAGTCTTAACGACAACCAACCGGAAGTTGTGCTGCCTAGTGGCGCACCTCTGCCAGTAACGCCTTTAGCAGGCTTACATCGTTACAACCCAGGTCGCACAATCAGAAATTATCGCTGACAAGTAGCACAACCTTTTAAAAGTTGTACGGCAACAATGTGAAAACAGAGCTGAAATGCCGGTTGTTGGGCCAAGCGGCGTACTTCCGCGGCATTGCAATAACGCCGTTAATTGACCTCTCCATACCAATTGGCATGGAAAGGCACAATTCTCAAAAAGGAAAAAACGCTGCCCAGCGAGGAAAGACAACAGTTCTACGGACACGTTTATTTATTTATTCATTTGTTATTGAAAGATTAAAAATTGTGTGCATACTAAGCCACCAGACGAGAACGATAGCCCGAACAAGCAAGCCGTGAACGAAGAATAAGTGGTACTGGCGGAGGAGTCAACAGACATTCACACTGGCAAAAGTGTGAGTCATTGTTGCAGACACATGATATCGTGTGCAAATCATGTTTGCGCCCGTTTTCGGGCCTTTTTAAGGAGCTATATCAGATGTTTATTACAAGTGCAGGTAGATGCTTCAAACCAGCAAAAGGCAGAAGTACTATCTACAAGTCATCCGGCGATCTCAACACTGTCCGACCCATAGTCGAGCCAGTAAAAGGTCGAAAAACTATCAACGTCACCTGTTCTGAAACCGGCCTCAAGTCCAACATGCCATGGTCTAGAAATTGGCAGGTAGGGCCATAAAAAACACATGTTAAAGGTGCGAACTGAGCCAGTTAAATGGATGAACTCCTGGAATCAGAGCTGACGCTAAGCAGTGCTTCTTGTGTGAGCCACGCTCCTACCATCTGATCATGAAATTCTAGGTCAACGGCAGAATTTGGTGACGAAAAATTGAGGTACCGCAATGCTCGGCACAGTCCCGTCCCGCCCTCTGACGTCACCTGACCTTTAGCGCGGACGCTGCCACCGGCCGCAGGTCATCGAGGATATCAACAAGGGCTTGTATTTATCCATGTATTTATCGAAGATGTCGGTACACAGACACGTAGCCCAATTTGTTTTGACTAATATTCACCCAAAATAATAGAGTTTGTTGCAGCACAATAGCTAATGGTCACAGCCGTCGCAAAGTCAACTTTCCCAATTTTATTCGCCTAATATATCAAAATTGTGAGGCCTCAGCATGGCCAAGAATGGCCATCCTTTTATCAACAGGTAACAAGTGCAGCGGCTCATTAATATCAGTGTGCCTCCCCTTGTCAAACCCATGACAGGGTATTTTAACGCATTGCTAACTACCATCCATGCGGGTTCCCGAGGGCGACGGCTCTATACAGACAGATGGAGTTTACCGTCTGTTTTAATAAGCTTACGACGCTTGGATATCATTTACATGGTACTATCGCGTCTGTTAGTTCCTGGCTCATCCCACACCGTAATATGCGTCTTACGAGGGCAATGTCCTCGAGTCAGGTCAGCACCAGCTGGGGCAACACCAAGTCTGCTGACTGCCGTACCCGGCGTCCGTGCACTAACCGGGCACAGGGAATGCAAACGGCATGAGGGAGCCCTTCGGTATGTCACGAGGCCACATCGCATTCAGCGGCCAGTGAACCGCACCAGCCAGCGGAGTTCATGCAAAGGAAACGGCCACGAACATAGCACAAAAACCGACTTTCACCGTCCGCTGCGGATTTCGGACGCTGTGATGGACTCGAGTACCTGACATCAAACTTGCGACAGCTTGTTCTGGAATGTCCAAAATGCCCGATTCATATCGTAGGCATCAAAACTTACACCTCGCCTTGAAATGTGGGGTGGAGGGGGGGGGGGGGGCACCTTCTAAGGTTCTATGGATGTATCTCCGTGGTATGCCGTGAAGCAGGGCCTAACTTTTCAGTAGCTTCTGTACCCTCCTCACTCCTTCTGTTTTGGTTTGGGAACGGCGCGGAGAAGTCGTTTGTTACGTGCATCACCATGCCACAAGTTGCATCCTTCTTATTGGGGGAGTTCACGTTCGCCATCAAGCTCGTCCACCGGCCCCTATTACCCTGAGTCTCACCCCGTCTCACACTCTCCAGCAAAGTTACCAGATGTTCGTACTGAACGCGGGCAATCACCGACGATTATGTGCTTGGCTCTGTGAACCGTCTTACCATCTTCTTGCCCATACACATGCCAGCAGACCGCTGTCTATTACGGTTTATGAGCCACAAGAGAGATGTGGACATACGATCTGAACATTTTCGCTGGTTCCGCTGACTGTCGAGTTGCAGTATGGCATATGCTGTGAACGCTCGAACAGGTTGAAAGCTGCTAACAACGTATTTCGATTGCTTTGATTAGGCCCACCAAAGAGGAATTATAGGTTTTCTAGATTTTTTTCAAGCACGAAAAAAACATTGTCCAAAAAGGCATCTTAAAAACACGAACAAATCACAAGCACCTGAAATATTGTCACTTCCTTGTGGGCCGCCTCGAACACTTCCCTTGGCCGCATTGGAGCCCCTTGCCAACACAGCAACCCCGTTTAGGCTCTCTGGGCATCTGACCGACGGAGGAATCCCTCACTGATTCAGGATGCCCGGCCGATGTTATCGGGGTCTCCAGCCTTGACCCTGCTTGGGAAATGGACCCATAGACCCGGATCGACACGGAGCCCGATGTTTGGTTCTGGTGGTGCCTGCCCGACGTACGGACCCTCATATACTCAGGGGGTCGCGATCAGCGCAAATGGTTCTTTGACTGGCATTTGAGGGCTTGGCCCTGAAGAATGGCGCCACTTAGAAAGCCCTTCAGCTAGGTCTTCAGGCCCTTGGTCGTCAGTTTCGATTGGTTCTTAAGCCCATCGGGACGTAAGGGAGGCTCACGTGCTCCGTGTGCCCCCCCCCCCCCTTGCCTGCTGCCTCTGCATGACTATGTCATGCCGCCACCCAAATAGTGAATACCTTAATCTGGCCGCGTTTAAGGGAGTGCTCCACATTTGTATAGGGTTTTCAATTAAGATAGCCATCTGGAAGATCGTTTGGTGCGGTTCATAGCCCTGCCCTTCTTAAAGCTTATATCCCTCTAGTTTCCAAGCTACGCGCCGGCGAAAATGTGCGAACTATTTCAAGGTCACCCAAGCATCCATGACAGCATCATAACGTCATTCAAATCCTGCCGTTCCATGCGGCAAGAAAGGACAAGTAAAGTCACAGTTGTCGAGTCGTTCATCTCTGGCGCTCGTGAGCACGATTTCCAGGCAAAACGGCCAGCACTGGCTCTCAATAAACGTTGTAGCAATGTACGATGACGCCATCAAACGATGAAGTATTAAGTGCATACTTACCAAATGTAGAAATTAGGTCGTCCAGACCAGTCTTTCCCATCTAAAAGTATACCAATAGTTATAAGTGAGCTCATTTCATCGTATCTGATGTTTGCTTCAAATTTTGAGCATCCCCTGTAATGTCACTTGTCTGGTTCCGGGCATCACAAGCCGACGGGAGGTGGAATGTGCCTGGGGATTTGCTGCCAGCTCTGGACGTCTCTCAGCAATGGATGGAGTGTCGAGGCTTGAGTGCAGCCGGTTGTTCAACGGGCGGCCCCAGTCCTCCGCCGGCACGCTCTCGCTGTCGCATAATTGTGATCAGATCGGTATGATTAGATTACTGTGCTAGCGTGCTGCTGCGCCGCCCCTACAAAGAGCTCGCGGAAAGACCGGGGTCAGAGATCACCAGCGTTTTGTTATGAGTTAGCCGTGTTATGCGTTTTGCAAGAGGTAAGTTGCTCAGTGCATTACCGTGGAACATTATTCACGTAGATAAGACAGTAGTAGTTAGCCTTTTTCCTCTGAAAAAGCAGGAGAATGGAGATATAGTTAAGTTTTGCAAGAGGTGTAATGCATGTCTGTGTTGTCCCGCGTTGTTCCGCTGGGGGCATAGGCAGTGAGCTAAAGCTAATAGCGTTTTCTTCCACTAGTCAGTACTTTCGCAATCGGGGAGGCGCTTTCTTTATATTTGGCTGCCTTGTCCCCCCCCCCCCCCCCTGTGTTCCACATGCATCAAAGACTGGCCCTTGGTCAGGCCGGTCTTTTGTTTCAGCCGCTAATGCATAAAGCCAGCCCCGTCCTCCGCTCAAACCACCCGCCCAAGACGAGCCTGCCGTAAATCTCCGTCACCGCGGCAACGACGACGCATCGGTGCACCCGTGCGTTGACAATGGTCGCAGCTGAGGGCCGCCTTGCGGACGCCTTCGGCCGTTTATCCACCAATTTCAGGCCCGGACGACATAAATATTTCACTACGTGACGTCACGTCGTACCAGGAACGGGACGTATCGGCGCCGCCCGAAGCGTCGCGAATGTCTGGCCAAACCAAACGCAGTGCTGGCGGCCGATCAGCGGCGTTGATATGACGTCACTAGTCCAGGCAATCGACTCAAGTACACTGAGCCTCGTTATTGCCGGCTTCGAGTGCCCACCTCGCTGACGCTGTAGAACTTGTACTTGAAGCGCATGAAAGGTCCGTGGCAGAAGATCTCCACCTCGGTCTGGTGCTTGAAGGAGACGGGACACTCGTACATCCGCTTCAGGCGAAGCTCGTTCATGAAGAACCAGGGCGTCACCTTCGGTAACCGGTTGAACTCTTCCAGCGTCTGAGGTAACACCAGCAGCTGCCACCTGCGAACCAGGCCGGCGCAGTCTGAACACCGTGAACGAAGGCTGTTCTCTAAGCACCGACCAGGCAGTCTGAAAGCGGGTGCTCAACACATCTGTCCTGCGCCCTGATTCCGGGCGGCCAGTCTGAGTACCGAGTCCTGACAGCACCAGTCGGAACGTTGCGACTCGACGGCAGCCGGTCTGGACGGTCGGCCATCACCGAGCCAGCGGACCTACCGGCAGACTGCCCGCAGACTGTGGACCTCGCAGACTGCCGACCGAGGTCGCCCACTTGGTCGATGACTTCCCGACGGGACAAGCGTCAGATGTAGCAGCCTCGGCACGTTGGGTCATTCGCGCGTGCATGCGGCTGGCCACTTTTGATGCTGTCTGTCCGTGTATGTGTGATCTGTTCAGTGATGACGCCTGTGCGTGCATGTTTGCATGGTCACTGCCGAGTTGTGAGCATGCTTGTTATTATGTGACTGGAGTTCGCTTCTTTTCTGCTCCCATTTTTAAAGTCCGAACACAAACAAACATAAAATGCACAGACGTTACTGGAGTCGGGACCTCACCAACCACAGTGGTGCAGTCACGCCCGAGGGCGTGCGACCGGTCAGTCCTCGGCCTGCGAGCGCGTGTGGGACGGTAGCTGTACGTGCCGCCGGTCGCCTGCCGTGACCTCGTCACGGGGCGCCGTGACCCACCGCCATCACGCGTCCGCCGCCAGCCGCCGCGTGGCGTGTCCTGCAGCGCCGCTGCAGCCGTTGGTCGGCCACATAGCTTCGGGGCACGGAGTGACCGGATTGCCCCCCCCCCTCCCCCCAGCCGTCCAACCAGTGACGGTGCGCCCTATTACCTTGGGCGCGGCAGACGCGGGGCGGGAAGCCGCGCGCCGAGAATGGCCGCCTGGTGGGGCGAAACTTTAATGCGGTATGGCCTGACGAGTCTCTCAGTCGCTGACTCCGGTCAGGAGTGAGTCACACGCTGTCTAATCGATCCGCCGTCGTCGCCATGGCTATGACGCGCTGTCGGCCGAAAACGCGGCGTTTGTCTACCCATTTGACGCGAGCGCAAACAGAGCGATGGTTCCGGATTTCATCGCCGTCTGCCGGCAGCAAAACTACCGGCTTCTCTGATTTTCATTAGGGCTTAACGACACACTCAGCTGCTGAGGCTGCATGGAGTCGCCCGCCTCTCACTCTAGCAGGAAGGACGGGTACCGCGGGGAGTCGAACCCCGTGCCTATGGTTCCCCGGACGCGCAATGGTTAACGCAGACGCTTTAACCAGCACCCCTCCCCCCTGCCGGCTTTTCTGCTCTGATCCCTGCTGGTTTGGATGACGGCCACTGGGACCAGGACCTATCGGTGATCAGGTACTCCATGAGGTGCCGGGGTCTAGACATTTCCCGCGATGCACCTGACCTGCCATATGAGTGCGTGACCCCTCTGTGTCACGCCATAGCTGGATCGAGCTGCGCCGATGTCACATGGGTTAATTGGTTAGTGATTACTGTTTGACGCCGTTTATTCGGTACCAGGCACCACCGGAAATAACGCAAAGGGACACAAGAAGTTGAGCGCGATACAAATCCTGCTGAAAAACCAATGCTCGGAGCGCAAATTTGATGGTCAATCCCATGCCAATGCCAATGCCAATCCCATGCCAATGAAACGTAGAGGTCGGCAGCACGCAGGGCGGGGCGTGCAATGAACCTTAGAGCAAGTAGGTAAATGACTGGAACAACAGCAGCCTGGCCTCCACCTATCGCATCTGACGCCGGAGCTTGAGGGCCAAACGGGGAAGCCCCGGAGGTCGCCGGCAGGGCACGATCGCATGGGACCAGTCCCCAACGCTGGACAATATTGTCCAGAAGTAACAGTTCAAGCTGCTCTCCCCCTACCCCGAGCTGCACCACGCCATTGTCAGCTGTGAGCGTCGCCAGCTGGCCGCGCTCACAGTGGGTTAGTGGGCTGCGGCCCCTGACATCGCTGACAACGAGCGGGCTGAATATAGCCATAACCTGGGGTGCAGGGAGTCTGCCCACCAGCCAGGGGTGCATGGGGTCCCCGCGTCGTAACCTTTAATCTAAACATACTAAGTGGCTCTTTGTCTGATGCAGACGCAAGTCATGTGCGTGGCCATGGATAGCAAAGCGTTACACCAAGTTACCGATGCATGTATGTACATGAATATGGATCTACTTACTCCAGCGCCCTGCAGATTTCACTGAACCAGGGTTTGAGTAGGCTCAGAGTGTGGATACATATTTAAACATTAGCATATGCTTTCGAGGTGCTTTATACGCTCGCTTTGTGTGGTTTTGAGTGGATTGTCCCGCGGCAGCGGCCGCGCCGGAGGTTACGTGACGTCATAAACAGGAAGGACTGTGGTGAGCATTGCAGCACATTAAGCCTTCGCCGAAAAATCCTGCCATTGACAAGAAAGTTCGCGATCGGGTGGTGGATCCGGGCTCGCGCAGCAAGCACAGCTTAGCATAGGCACGGTCCCAAAGTCAATTTAATCAAAAGGTTTGGACTAAATCTAAAAACACATTCTGTTTGTTCGGTCGTTTGTTATAGGCTGGTGCTAGGCGAAGCTCGATGCTCCTTTGCTGTGCTGCTCCGAAGAAGCTGCATTCGAAGATGGCGTGCTATTTAATGACACTGGGGCTAACAAAATATGCCTTTTTAGTTAAACACATAGCAAATGCTTCGTTTCTTTCTAATTTCTTGTTTATCTTTCCCTTGCCAAGCGTTATCTGTTTGCGCTGTATTAGTTTCAAGAAACTTCTTAGCACTGCTGCCCAAAGGGAGGTGGGTACGAACTTAATGGCGCATTGGCAGCTTTTTTGTCTACGTTATAGTGAAAAAAAGAAAATTTGCAACATTTTCGGTGCTCGTGAGTTGTAGGGGCTCCAAATATTTCTTTCATATCCATATTTTTGTCCGCTTGAGCAAAAAATGAACGACAACGTAGCGAAAAATAAAGCTTATAGCTTAATTCGTAGGACCGGTCCCTCAAAGCAGCCTCTATATATGTCGCAACGAAATGCAATGCTTCCCATGCTGACGTTGTCAGTGAGGACGGCTTGCTCGGTTACATCTTTGAAATGACCTCTCGTAATGCCAAGTAAAAAGTGGAAAAATTACGCTAACCTTGAATGCCGCCAATTCTAATGGTTCAGTTGTTTAGAGCGCCCGCCTCCCCCCCCCCCCCCCCCCCATCACAACCCACACGTGGCGCGGTAGGTCCCAGCTGCTTCTGGCGCTCAGTATTTGTCTGACTACAATGACCTGCGGGGGACCGCGCCATAGGTCTAGTGACGTCAGAGGGTAGGACGGACCGTGTCCGTTGCTCGACCGTTGACGTAGAATTCCACGATCAGATGAAAGAAGTCACGCCTAACGCCAGCAGCATTGCTTAGTGTCTGCTCTGATCCCACAAATCCATCCTTTCAATATGCTCGGATAAGACCTATCACACGAAAGAATGCAGTGCAATATTGCTGTTCTACTTTGTCTACCGAATGACGTCAAACATGTGCAATGATGGACTTCATGACATTTGAAGCTTGTCTTCTCAGTCTATTTGCTTTTGCTTCCCAGTCCGTGATGTGAGCAAAGCGTAGACAGAATGTTGGCAACATACTAGTTTTTGTTATTAATGCGGCAACCGTCAAGCCCCGCTGCCAAGCTCGGCCTAGCTTCACCACCGAACGTTCAGTATCCCATAACTCATACGCGCGTGGAAGCCGCCGACACCGGCGGTCGGTGCCTCGGCCGAGCCACCCGTCGGCCTTTGGTCAGTTTTTGTTTCGGGCCGGCGGTAGCACGGTGGCTGATAAGGCCGCGGTCACACCCGCGGGCGGCGCCGCCATGACCTGGCCCCGCTCGCGCCGTGATCGGCGCCCAGTCACCGCCTCCCCGTCCGTACCTGACTGCCAGCAGCCAATCTGTCAGTCGAGATAAGGTGCCGCGGTAGCATACGCCCATATGCAGTCCAGCAAGTCACCGGGGTTTTTGATTGGCAGCTTGTCGCTGTGACCTTGTTATCAAGACTTGGTTTTGTGATCAATGGCGTTCCATTTCTTGAAGCCGGAAGTCAAGACTTTATTATGGGAAATCAGGCAAGCGGAAGTGTCCTGAGATAGCACAAGTGGTCAGGACACTAATTTTTGCAGTGCAAACATTGCGATGTTTAACTTTGCTTAGAGGCGTCAGTTTACCGCTCTGGTTCCCCTCAGCTGGCTTATGCTTTCTTGTGGGCACAGTCCTCAGAACTGAGATCTTCTTTTTCATAGATGGGACGCTCCGTTCCTTCCGCCCACTTTTTAAGAATCCGTTGGAACCTTTTAAATGGATGGATTTCTGGAATCAGAGCTCATGCTAAGCAGTGCTTCTTGTTGCGTAAGCGCTGGCCCCACCATCCAAGCGTAAAATTCCAGGTCAACGGCAAAATTTGATGGAAAAAGAATAGCGTGCCGCAGCGTTTAAAACGCTTTGCCCTGCCCTCTGGCGTTACCTGTCCTTAAGCACGGCCGCTGCCACCGACCGCCGGTCATACCTGTCAAGGCCAAATGGCGAGCGCCTAAAGAGGCTCGAACCCAACCGCCACAGGTGGGTGGATTGAAAGAGAGATGCTCTAGCCACCTGAACTATTGAGACGGACGTTGAGAGGGAAGTAGGTGAAAGGCGGGGAGAAAGTCATTTTTTATGGAACCTGAGGGTAGCTATTTTTTTATTTTTAGCCATTTTCCCTGTCCAGCACCTACCTGTGTTGCGAAAATACGCCCTTGATGAGTTAATGATAGTTGACTTGATTTACATATCCCTGTAGTTATTATTTCATTATTTAACAATCTAGGCCGCACATCGGCAGGCGAAATTCCTCGGGAGCAGCTTGAGCAGAACTGAGCAGTTTGCGTCAATGGTGTTAGCCCGTGTCGATCCCGGGCTTCGTATCCTTTTGAAGTTCCATCACCCCCGCCTCCTCAGCTGCTCGTGTCGAGCCCGGGCTTCGTATCCTTTTGGAGTTCCATCACCCCCGCCTCCTCAACTGTCCGTCACGGCCTTCACACTGCCCAAATCGCCATAGAAGTCCTTAGAAGCAGAAAAAACTGCAAAAAAACATTCCTGTTTCAGGCAATTCTCGTCTTTGGCCTTATCCCCGAGCAGTTCATGAAACTCACTCTCCTCTGGACCAGCTGAGCCATTCGCCGAAGCTCAAGGCATCCTCATCGCGGTGTGCAGCGAGCCCAAAGGCCGTGACTTGCGAGGAAAAATATGGAGGCGGTCAGCTGCACCGCAAATGACATTTTATGTTTCATGCATGGCGAAGCATGCCCTGCGCGGACAGTGAGCCATGAGGCCCCACGTCTGCAGGAGTCGCAGCTAGGGGTGGTGCCGCGCTAGGCGGTAGAAGGCTTCCGGGCGACAGCAATTAGACTGGAACATGACTGTGGTTTCCGCAAATATTGCACGCCGGCGCCTACCTAGTTTTTCCTTTGTTTCAAATGTAACGCAAACTTCGCTGCTTCTGTGACGGACTGGCGAAGAATGGCGGGGCTACACGCGGTTGTGGCACGATAATCTATGAACAACGTTCGAACGAACGAACGAACGAACGAATGTTCTAAATCTAGCTAGGTGGGCTTGGTCAGGTCACCTGCGTGCATAGCCGTACATTGTTCGAAACCCAGCAGAGACTGATGAAGAAAAAGTTTTGAGACGTCTTTTCATGTCACCGCTCCGCGTACTGGCAGTCCACAACCGGCTTCAACATCTCGTGGAAGTCAGCCTACCGATGGATCATGTCATCTCAGAGGAGCCGCCACCCAGCGTAGTAGCGTTGAACACGGCCGTCGTGCAGTCCAGCCGCCACTGGTCCGCCCTATCGACACCGATCTCCGTCAACTATCGCCATCCATCTGTCTTCAGACCAGCAGCGTGGGAGCGGCAAAACACGCCCGTGACGATCAGTGCCACCGCCGTGGCGACCTTGACCTACGGCTGCAGCCGCCGTGCCCCATCAGCCGCCCGTCCGATGCGCTAATCAGGGCGCGCGCACGGCTGCGTGCGGTGAGAATGCGCGTGGCATGGTCGATACCGTTCCCAGGGCGTGAGCAGATGGCCCCGGCGCGTCGTTTCCGGCACGACGCGCCGGTCAGGGACAGCCGAGACCTGTCGAGCGGAGAGCTTGGCTTTCAGTCGACGTCCGGCCGCGGTCCCCGCACCACACTCTGTGACGAAGAGTGTAGACATGGATACGAAGCGTATCATTGAAGACGAACGGAGGCACCGAGTGCTAGGAGTACACGACGACGATCAAGGTCGACGAGCGTCGAGTGGACGGGCGAGACTACTTCGGCTGTGGTACAGCACCATCGTCGGGTCTTACCTATCGTAGTCCTTCTCACTGTCGTCGAAGGGGAAGTGGGTCCAGCCGAGGTCCTCCGGGTCGGACAGGAAGTAAAACTCGTTCACACGCGGTACAAACTGGCCTGCGGTGTCCGTGAAGCCTGAAGGGAAGGAGGGGGATGAAGTCGTCACAAACGAGTACATCAGCACCACGCCATCATCAAGCTCCACATCACTCACAACAGTGGGTCCGTTTTTCAAACGAACTTCGACTTTGCATTTCAGTTTTTCCGTGACGCTTTTGCATTCCATCGCCGGCAAATGGAGTCAACGATGACCGCGACGAGATGGGAACAGTCGCTATCGGCAGCCGAGTCAAACAAAGTTTTACAAAAAGATGAGACAGTAGTCTTAGCCTCATTCGTCCTAGAATGGCCAAGAGAATAGACAGATATATTTATTAATATTTCGGCCACATGCCTTTATCGAAAGATACATCAGTAGTAAACTCAAAATTACCTACCGATCCGTGTCGATCCTACTCGATTTTTCACGCTTTTCTAACCGAGAGCCACACTTTTTACTGGTCACCAACATTCAGGGGATTAAGCAAGGCCCAATTGCCAGCCATTACTACGATACAGCGCATATCTAAGCAAGGATAAAAATACCCCAAAATACGTTTACACCTACACGAATTCAAGTAAACAGGCATCACGCATCACGCATCATTCGTACATGAAAACGAATTCAAGTAAGCGATTTCAACTAAACCGGCACCACGTACCACGCATCACTTATACATGCAAACGATTTCAATTTAACAGGCATCATGCATCATGCGTTGGGCATCACTCATACGTAAAGATGATTTTAAGCTGGCACGCATCATCATCAAGGCACTAATCACATTCGGAAAACCGGTCATAATGATGGTCAAATCGGCACATTAAGGTTTGGTCGCTTACTTCTAAAAGAGGAGATTCACCTATTTTTATGACTGGATGGTTCTGTTTTGTAGATAGCAGTTAACCTGAGAGGAAAGTAAATAGGGGACGGGGGGGGGGGGGGAGGAGTCGTCACGAAGCACCTCTAAGAGGCATTTCTCCCAGGGAATGCTTTGCATTATTATGCATGATGTGTTCTTAGGCCTCTGAGAGGAAATTCTGGATTTATTACTGACATTCGTTTCGATAAGAGCGTGTAGCAGATGGCGGAACAGAACGCATGATAATGAAAACGATGCAAAAAATTCACGCAAATCCCGAATGCAAACGTGATATATGTTACTTTATGCCCCCACGTGCACCTGCGTCGAACGGTCGTGGATGTTACAACTGCACATGCTCTTTGCGATTGACAACAACGCCTTGGGCGTGCATGGCCACTAACGAATTGCAGTGATTGCAGTGATACATCTGGTCGGAGACGCGTGGTGAGGGCGCATGACTATAGCGACAAGTGAACGACCACGTGTGTAGCACTGGCATGTAGAAGCCCTTTCAACGGCTGCTGTTCCGTTTCAGGAATGCCACATTACGAAATCGAAGCGGAAAAGAATTGTCAAGACAGATAACGTACAGCGGGCAACCGGCATACCGTCATGCCCGCGCACTTTTAATAGCGCACTAGTGTCTCCTGCTGTAAGACGTCTGGATGTCGTTGGTATGACACTCCTCCAGTGGACGGACTTTTCACCAAGGACAATAGCCGGCCCCAACACAGTAGCGCGACGCGAATCAATACAGCGGCGACGAATTGGCAGGGCTGCATGCACCTACACCAATTGTGTACTGCGCACCTACACCAATTGTTTACTGTGACAAAGGCCCGGCCTGCGCAGCGACCCCAGCTAAAGACAGGCCGGCGATGACCAGCCGCGCCGACGACATGCAGGCGCGTGACAGTGACACCGACCCCCAAGTCCTCCAGCCGGTAGACAGGCACAGCGGAGTCGTGTCCAGTCCTCCAGCCGGCAGACAGGCGCAGGGGGTCGGGTGGAGCGGGCCGTGGCTCCCCAGTCTTATTGTCGGTTATTTACAACGTGTGTATCGAGCGGCTGCGGCGCCTCAAGTGGACCCTCCACCGGATGTCAGTGGCGATCCAGGGTCGGCACGGCCGCCGTGATGAATGACACCAGGCGGCATTGTGTCGCCTTTGCTAGTGCCGCTGCCGGCGGGCAGCCGGGGCGGGCCAGGCTGCCTCGTCTGGGCTCAGAGGGTGGGCTGAGGATCAGAAGGATCGTGCGTGTGGATGAAGGGCTGGGAATCAGATGGGTCCAGATATCCAGAATGCCTAGAAATTATGGGTATCAGTTTGGCCGTAGCAACTTTGAAGGGGCTATTGCAAAGCGCGCCATGCTTAGTGTGCTCTTTTCTATATTTTGCTTTTTCTATATCGCTTGCTTTTTCAAATATTTTCGGAGTTCTCAGAAGCCCGAGTCGGACGCCTGAAAAGGGATAAATGTTAAAAAGCAGACAAGGAAAGGGTGAGTAAGATAGGTTTCAAGCCTGAGGTCTGCACCCTCTTGCCTTTACCCCCCAGCCCCAGGACGAGTAACTTGCACGTAGCTTTCAATAAGCTCCAACCGTTGCTCGATAGGGCTAAAAACTGGTGCGAGTAAATGCTTAGATTATAGCAAGCAAAGAAATGTCATGTTTCATTAATCTGATCATGGCTCATATTTATGTACCAGGTAACAGCTGGGATCGCAATATGTCCGCATGCGGTAGAACGCCAGACCAAGTCGCATACACCTTATGGCTGAAATCGTACAGATAGCTCTTAAGACGGCGCAGTTGGTCCAGAGGAGCCTAGTTCCGAGTAAGCGGACCCGTGACCGTCATTGGCGCCAAATGTCAAAGGAGTTAACGTCATGTGAAATCATCATATTCACAGTTATCGGCGGCTCGGAAACACAGAACAATCGACGCAGTCCAGCCATACAGCATCCCATCGCCTGAGGCGCAGAAAAAGCACCTTCAACTGAATAAAGCTGCTACGGAAGCAGGGGAGATATTAATGACACTTCTTCTTTCATCAGTTGGCCGAACGAACACGGACGAACTGCCCTGAGGAAGCAAACCCTTCGCGACTTTGCCTTACATGATGTGTTGGCTGGTTCTATATCACATGCCAAAAACACATCACTGCTGCTCAAATCTATGATTTGAGCTGTAATAGTCTATCACCGTCTCCAAAGCAACCACAGTAATACCACGGGTGCGTCTTAGTCATGCCTTAGGACAGGATTTTTGAGCATCTATTTTTCGCACCGTCATGAATCGTCCCGACATTTTTCCTGGTGCAGAGCAGGCTGCTTGTAATTTGTCGGCGTTGTGGCATCGAGTTTGCATTAGCACACATAATAAATTATTTCCAATACGCTTTTAAATCAGCGCCCATGACACAGCCGGGTTTTGCCACGCGTTTCATTTCACCGGAGCCGCTTCCGGGCGTTTTCGGGCCTCGTTTTCACTTCGTTCCTCCCCGCTGCTTCAGACTGCAAGCATTCCCCGGGGGTTTCCTGGTCGGCAAATCTCCACAGCCATATATCTATTGGCACTGACTTAATAGCCTAACCTTTATGAAGGTAAGCGGCCTGCTTTCCCGTTGTTGAACTGGCTGCGTCGCACGTGTCGAACTGGCTGCCACCATGCCATTAAGGCGTTCTATCTCGGCCTTAACGTGATATAACCGCCACAACATGCACCCGAAAATGACGAGAATGTTTTTGTTCGGCATGTACTGCCCCGTGTCCAGCCTCAGCGTCAGTGCCTGCCAAGGCCGCACCTAATGACCATTTGAATATCGCGTTCCGCCAATAGGCGTTCCACCAACCCCCAGCATTCATTGAAATAGAAGCGGCCACGGCGCCGGTCGATCGATACGGTCCCCAGTGCCGGCATATTCCGGTCCGAGTGCTGACGGCGGCAACCGCGCTCACCGAGCAACCGGCAACACAAGCCAGCGGCCACTCCGGACGGCCGAGGCCCCTGAGGAGGCCAGGCAACACATGCCAATGGACACTCCGAGCGGCCGAGGCCCCTGAGGAGGCCAGGCAACATACGCCAGCAGACATCCTGGACGGCCGAGGCCCCTGAGGAGGGCAGGCGAGGCGGAGTCGGTGGCAAACAGTGCGAGATGCAGCCGCTGACGAACCTCCACGCTCAAAGCTGAAACGATATTTCGTATGTGTCCTTACGTCCCCTCTATCCCTGAGTTCCAAGGCAGGGAAATATCTCCCAGCATCATGACGCCAGCCCGGGCTTGTCGCCATCCGAGGGCACCACGCGGCACAAACAAACTCCGAAGCGGGAAGGGCGGCACGAGACGGGAAGGGTGGCACCAGGAAGAAATGGCGGCACCTTGCGGGAAGGGCGGCACCAGACGGGAGGGGCGACACCCCGCGGGCCACGCTGAGACGCAACCCGCACGAGTGCTCGCCTCTGCGCCGAATCGCAGCTGACCGCCATCCCCGCTCTCGCCAAACAACCTGCCACGCCGCGTCGCGCAACATCAGCTCCGTGATGAAGGTTGACCAGCAGCAGTCATGGCTGCCACTACCAAATAACGTTCGCTTAGCTCTAGTGACTTCCCATGCCAAAGTTTGCTGTGGGGAAATGCAAAAAGTCGTACGTCCCCTTTGCAGGAACCCAGAATCCATCAAATATCCCGAACCGCAAACCTTCAAACTTGCCATTCATGCAACTACTCATTTTCAAGGCTGTCACTCACTTAGCATAATTGATGACCACATAAAATATACTTCCGGAGAATACCCATACACATCCCGAATCTCTGAATATGCTGCATGGCTTATTCCACGCTATGTCCACACCATATGCATGAAGCGACCATACCCCTAAGACGTAGAGGCTGTGGGCCAGACTTCTCTTTTAAGTTTAGCATAAGCTTTACTGTGCTACATGGAAGGACGAATTGACTACGACGGTGATCCCCAATCTTCGACACCCTTCTGCCTCCTGGATGATAACGATGCACAACGGAGAGCCGCATTTCCCCCTTCTCTTTCCCTCTACATTCTGCATGCACGGCAGGAAGCGTTATTACATCGCCTCCGACACTTTCCGGCTGACCGACCAGTTCATAGCGCTTTGTTTACCGCTATTTTGCATGCTTGCTGGCGATTACAACACGGGCGCCACATCGCGTGGAGTTCAAGGGCAGGGGTGAAAGTCGAATAGAAGTTTCGTCGAAAGGCGCGGCTCAGTTTGGCAACCTCTTCTTGCATCCAAAACATTGCACACGCACGCGCGCCCTCCCGCTAAGCGAATGGCCGGAGAGGCCGACGCGCTCGGTGATACCATTCAGCATCATCCTCCTGTCATGCGCGTGGATTGGCCTTGTAGCCGATGTGCCCGAAAAAGCACAACCATCATCATCATCATCACTATCATCATCACCGTCGTCATCATTCTGCCAAACGCAATCATAACCTTGCGTTTAACATTGTGACCAGCCGCGTACCCATAATCACAATACGATATATATATATATATATATATATATATATATATATATATACACATATATATATATATATATATATATATATATATATATATATACACATATATATATATATATATATATATATATATATATATATATATATATGTGTGTGTGTGTGTGTGTGTGTGTGTGTGTGTGTGTGTGTGTGTGTGTGTGTGTGTGTGTGTGTGTGTGTGTGTGTGTGTGTGTGTGTGTGTGTGTGTGTGTGTGTGTGTGTGTGTGTGTGTGTGTGTGTGTGTGTGTGTGTGTGTGTGTGTGTGTGTGTGTGTGTGTGTGTGTGTGTGTGTGTGTGTGTGTGTATGTATCTAAGCACGTGTGGCCTGCGTGCCGATCAAGCTACCAATTTCACATAGTGAAACTTGCCCTAGATTCCACACATTCCTGATGCAACAAACGATGCCACCACACATCCGCAAAATCAACGATCGTAAATCATGCAAGACGTCCACACAAAGTCAGGCCAAACGACTTCTTCATGGAAACGGTGGTGCAATCCTTCACGAGGTCCAAAAGCACGGTTTTATCCGCCGCCTATGTGTGCAGACTGGCGCGACTTGACACACAGACGAGAGGCTATTGAAGCAAAAACGAGGACGCTGCCGGGGTTTATCTTTGTGAAGATGACCCTGTGTTGCACAACCTTCTCAACGCACATGTCGATGATTGGAGGGACGTAAAAGGTAAAAGCTGCTGCCTGCAAGGTCGCCAGTGACCGTTTGAAAAAGTAGCGCGACCCACGCTTTAACGCGTGTTGAAAGCTGTATAAGTAAAAAAGTCTTGAACTGTTGGGTTTCGGCCGCTATGGGTAGAGTTTTCCAAAGTAAAAAATTGATCTTCAGTTGGCCAGGAGGCTCTGGTTTCACGACGTTATCAATGAAGCATTCGTTGAATTTGAGAACACCCAACATTTCGACACTGTGCTCAAGGTCAGATTTTGTCGGGAATATCGATCAACAACACCCTATGACTCTTTGGCTCTGGAGCACAGCGCACAAATTTTATAATCCGATAGTGGGGGTCAGAACTCACGCAACAAGCAGCGTTTTATATGTACGCTCACCCTGGAAATGCATCCAATCCAAAGGTTCTGACATTTTATCCACAAAAAAATGATGGCCACCCGACAAAATGCATTTGAATTCGACGCACAATAAGGATACAAAGAAAGCAGTCGTTACATCACACGTGCAAAGAACGGCGCGTGCGTCTTATAATCCCCAGCTGTGTGCACCTACCGAAACGGAAATATGTTTTTCCTTCCGTGCGAAAAAGTATGCATGCTGCATGATGACCCAAATAATAGCTAACCCGCTTCTTATTGAACGGTGACAAGTGTACTTGTCACACAGTCAAGACTGAGGGAGCATTCGAATGACCAGTCAGTTGCAAAACATGATCATAAATAATGGCCGTCATCAGTGATCCCGCATTCGTCAAATCGTGACTCTACAGAAGACGCTTTGAGGAGGAGGCCGGGAGTCTTGTCAACATCACCTCAGCGCGCTACATCGCTACTGTCATGCTTGGGCGGCCCAGGGGCGACTTCACTGGATTGATCGGGGCGAGGAGTCACCCGGCAGGACGGGATGCTACCGTGCAGCGCGCGCAGCGTTTGGAGGAGCAGCTTGCTGGAATGCACCTCAGCTCAAGGTTGTCGTGAAGTGGGTTCGCACTCACCCCACCTGTCAGTGCTGGATCTTATGATGCGCGGTTATCTAAAGAGCCATGTCCACGTGGACAAGCAGCGAACCTTCAAGAGCTCAGGGCCGCGTTCAGACTTCAAATGGGATGCACCACGGTCGACAAGATCGACAGGACACCAGGCAATCTGGAGTATCTTTGCAGCCACTATTCGGTGAATGTGAAATCTCTACCCATGTCGCGGCTGGTGTTTTGTCATTGAATTGACATCAAATGGCACCACATTCATCATTGTACAGTGTGTACGCTTGCCATTCTTGAGGACCACGTAAGTAATCTTTCACTTGGACCACCCTGTACCTTAAAAAGCTTCCACATATAGCAGCCCATTTATTTTCGGTCCTAGTCCGCCTGTGTTATCTCATTAAAACCTGCCAACATTTGCAGGCTGACCTAGCATAGGCAGAGTTTACTTGACAAATCAATGGGCGCCTACAGTACGCTGTATGATACAAAATGAACACGTATTATTAGAGATATGTTTATGCACCTAGTACACCAGCAATTCAGAGAAATTTTCGGCATTTTATTGGCCCCGTCTTCCTTGTTGCTCATATGCATTGAGGGGCATCAGATGAGCATTACGGAGGCCCCAGTCAGCACGGGGGGGGGGGGAGAGGGGAAGGGAGGGGGGGCGGGCTCAGGCTCTCTCGAAAGTGTTCAAAGTGACGCCTATGGACTTGTACAAGGCCAGGACGTCCATCCCACGAAAAAAATCGGCTCTTATCTATACTAGTCTCCACATATCCCTTGTGTTCGTCGAATCCCCGCAGATTGCATGCGCACTCTCGTGTAATTGAACAAGATACATGGCTATCGCCCTGCTGTAATTACCTTGTTTTTCGAACACTTCAGAATAAATTCTAGAAAGGGCTTTCTGATTCAAATAGGAAGATCACCAACCCAGCAAAGGGTCCGCTTTACATGGCACAGGACCTCCCATTTCAGGACAGGGCCGCTTGATGTATAGAGCAGATCCTAGTCCAAAGCAGTGGCTCCCGAAACCATAAAGGGGAACTCTGGTCCAGGAAATGGACCTCTTGATTACAAAAAGGCCCTCCATAGGAGACAAGGCGCCGATACGTAACTTTTGTGGGCCTCCTTGATCCGAACTTTGATATCATATGTGTAGCTTTCAAAATTTGAAGTCGGGAAATAGGAGTCTCCGAAAACTTTATGAGAACATTCTCCTTCTTCCTACAACCCCTGCTGCACCTCCCCTTGCGTTCAAGGCGAACTCCTGACAACAAAAGCGATCGCAAATAATGGGCAAGTCCAAGCCTCAGGTATCTAGGTGTTTTAATCAACAGTGTTTCTTTTGCCGCAAGCACAAGCATTCCAAATTCAAAGGCGCACTACACACAGCACAGCATATTCATCCCTCCCCTACACACACAAACGCATCCTCACAGACACACACACACACACACACACACACACACACACACACACACACACGCACACACACACACACACACACACACACACACACACACACACACACACACACACACACACACACACACACACACACACACACACACACACACACACACACACGCACACACACGCACACACACACACACACACACACACACAACACGCATGCACGCACACGCTCATAACACCAATTCCGCCCTGTTCGCCGGGAGGGGGGGGGGGGGGGCGATGCGGGCGGCACTAACCTGCGCCCCACGTGCAGTCTACGAGCCGCCACGAACCGCGCACGAACACGGCGCTCCAGGCGTGCGTGGCATCCTCCTTCGGCCGGAAGTGGTGACCCGGCTTGTAGTCGTGGTTCTTGGCGAAGCCGTGCAGCCGTTTGGCGCGCAGGCCCACCTTGTCACACAGCTCGCTGAAGAGGAGGACGTACTCGCGGCAGACGCCGGCGCGGCGCAGCAGCACGTCCGCCGCGTCCAGCCGGCTGTCCAGCAGCGACCAGTCGAAGCGGATGTTGTTGACGATCCAGTAGAAGATGGCGCGCGCCTTCAGCAGGTCATCGTCACCACAGGGCGTCACGAGGTGGACGGCCAGCTGGGTGAGGTCGCCGGCCAGCTTCTCCGGCGTCGTCAGCACCCAGTCGTCGACCTCGTCGAAGAGGGTCTCGTCGCCAACCAGCTCCAGCTTCTTGCAGGGCGGCGGCACGGCGGCGTACTCGGGCGCCTCGTCCGTCAGGAAGTCGTTGTCGGTCTGCACGCCGGCGTCGCGGCGTCGCAGCCGGCTCCGGCGCGGCGAGCGCGCCAGAATCTCGTGAAGGCTGGTGGCGTCATCCAAGTCGAGCGACCTCCGCAGGCTGTGGTGCAGCCGGCCGGCCGGCGAGGCCATCTCGCGGCCGTTCGTCTGGCACTCCTTAATCACACTGGTCTCGGCCGCCATGTTCACCTGGCTCTCGAAGTCGACGGCCGGCGGCGCTTCGAGCATCGCCAGTGCCGCGCTGACCGACGCACTCGGCGTCGGCGAACCGTGGCGCGTCACCGTGCGCGACGCCGGCGACAGCTGCGGCGGCTCCGTCTGCGTGACGCGGCTCACGCGCTGTACCACCGTCTGCGTGCCGGCCGTGCGCGTCTGGCGGCGCACGGCGCGCGCGTCTGCGCCGCAGCCGTGACCGTTGTGCATGATCTGCGTAAAGCGCACGTCCGTCTGCACGCTCACGTCGCACGCCACCTGGTGCGGCAGCCGGTACGTCTGCGTCTCGACGTCGCTCTTGTCGCTCAGGTCCCAGTCGAACTCGTCCTCGTTGAAGGCACTGTCCGTTTGCGCCTGGTTCTCCATCTTCTGCACGGCGGTAGTCTTGCGGCCGCGCATGGCGCCCATCGGCTGCAGCAGTGGTTGCAGCAGGGGCAGCGCGTGCAGCTTTTCGGACACCCAGGCCTCGCGCGGTGCGTGGCTGCCGGCGCTGCTGCCGGTCACTAGACGCACCTCCTCAGCCTCGTCCGAGACGCGACTGCGGCCGCATCCCATTATACCCGGGCCGCACTCCGCACCGTCGCTCCGGCTGAGGGCGCAGACACGGTGTCAGGGGTGGTTCGGTGTCAGGGCTGACTTGATGTCAGGAATGGTTCAGTGTCAGGAGGTATTCGGCGGGGACACGGCGTCAGGAGAAGGTAATCATGGCACGGTGTCAGAGGTGGGTCATCAGGGGCTCGGTGTTAGAGGTGGATCATTGAGAGCACGGTGTCGGCGACGAGTCATCAAGGGCACAGTAAGAAAGAGGGGTCATCAGAGACATGGTATCAGGGGTGGGCCATTGGATGCACGGTGTCAGGGGCGAGTCATCAAGTGCACGGTAACAAAGAGGGGTCACCAGCGGCACGGTGTCAGCAGAGAGCTGTAGAGATGCGGTGCCGGGAGAACCGCGGCAGGTATATGGTGTCGAGTAGCTTTCGACAGATGAAATGTAAGGTGAGGCACGGCAGAGCCACGGTGCCATGGGAGGCATGAGGGAGATACGGCTTCAGGCGGGGTACAGCGAGGCACCGGGTAACTTCTGTTGGTAGTATTCCACTGAACATGAAGCTCAAAAACATAATCGGCGAGGTTTATTCTGGGACATTACACAACGATACGCCGCCGCAGGTAATTGTCGGCGAGAGGAAATGCGCTATCGTGCGTGTCAATGAGATATGCAGCTGGTGAAATCAGGCGGAGAGGAACAGACACCGCGCGCAGAGGCACATGCCAGTGGCACCAGGCAATGCTCAGTTGAACGTCAGAGATATTAGTGAGATGTCATAGAAAACAGCTGGAGAAGACGGCAAGAGAAGAGAAAAACAAAGAGAAGAGAAGGCAAAAGAAGAGAAAAAACAGCAAGAGAAATGCACACAGCCTGCAAAAGAAGGATGCATCCAAGGACTTAAACATTTCAGATTCAGTGTTTGGGTACCGACGCAGAGGCAGGTGATATGCCTCAGGTCATTACACTGCGCTAGTCGGGTGCGGATGCAAATACAAATCGAGGAGCTTGATGTAATTCGGCTCTGTTTTCCACCATAAAGACATCCAAGGACCCCAAGACCGCTAAGAAAGGCTGTTTTGTCCTGCCGATGTCTACATTTCAGCGAGTTGGCTCTCGTGACCTTTCCATGGCTGTTGGTACAGCTCGTCATTATTCGTGGGAATAAATAATATATTCCCCAGTTGTGTTCTCACAAAATATTTTTCCAACGCATTTACCCCCTTCCCCAAAAGCTACTTAGCTTGATAAGCAGAGAGAACAACAGGTTGTCCGTCTTGCGCAGCATGGTTTCTAAATTTGGAGTGCCCTGATGTGGGTGCCGGTTTTAGATTCAGTGCATTAGCACAGCGCCGTTGCCATGCGCGTTAAGCCTCGGGCGCGGGAAGCAAATGCCGCTCTGAATGATCAATCATGAGATAAGATCGATCTTCTCTTCTCCTGGCTCCAGCGCGGGCCGTGCCTAGGTAAAATTTGCACCGACTATAATCGCAAGCATCAGTGCGACAGATGAGAGCTCAGTAACAGCGTCTCACGGTGTCTTGCAGGGACATGGGAAAGTAACTCACCAGCCCCTTACAGAGGTGACACCGAAAAGCCCGTTAAGTTACGAGGAATCGCATGACCGGCATGGTATTTCATGTGATAATCGAGCTATGGTGCCGAAGGCAGCTGATCGGTACGCGCTGTCTAATGTCGATGTCGGTACGTCTGAGCCACACCCGTCAGTTGTCAGGTAATCGCTGCAACGAGACATTGCAACATGACACTGCCATGAACCTAACACCAGAACACACCACAATTCGTTGGCTCATCACGATCATGTTGCCGATCGTGGCCGATGGTTGGGTAGAACGGGACACGCGCATGCATCTAAGGCTCATCCAAGCATGTTAACGTGTGTGTCCCACACCAACGCCTTTGCCAGTAACTAGGAAATTCCACACTTATTGTCGGGTCACGGTGCAGGGCTGGGAGGTGAAGGAGGCGGTGAAGGTCAGGGCGGACCCCGCCGGGAAAACTGAGCCGTTCAGCTCGCTCCTCCAGCTTAGCTATGTTCCGACCATCACTCCACGAATGATGAGGTCACCACGCTGTCATCTTCGCAACTTGTCGTCTTGACAGCGCAGGCTCTCTCTCCTCTCTCTCTCTCTCTCTCTCTCTCTCTCTCTCTCTCTCTCTCTCTCTCTCTCTCTCTCTCTCTCTCTCTCTCCTCTCTCTCTCTCTCTCCTCTCTCTCTCTCTCTCTCTCTCTCTCTCTCTCTCTCTCTCTCTCTCTCTCTCACTCCCTCTCTCTCCCCTCTCTCTTCCTCTCTCTCTCCCTCTCCCCCTCTCTCGCCGAGGTAAGGCCCTCATCCCAGTGCTGATACCTGTGCGTTTGGCGAGGGCATGCAGGGCAGCCGGTGGAACGAGGCTGCGGTTTCGAGCATGCCAAAGACCCGGCGTAATAGTTTATGTGAGGTGGCGTTATCAGGTGTTAATCATTGCAGGTGACATCGATTCAATTGCTCGATGAGTCCAAAAACGCTGGACACACATCAAAGATGCATGTAGTGCACTCTTGGGTGTAACTACGACTGTGGCAATAGGGGTCCGAACCCAAATGACTGGGAAGACAAGGTTACATTTGTGTTCTGGCCGCACATAATAAGGTAAGAGAAGGCCTGGGCCCCAGCATTATCTTATCTGTGGCTTCGGCCCCGGTGCACCATACACACTGTGCTGTGAAATAAGCTGACACCTCACGCAAAACAAACATTGAATCATTATCTAATCTCATCGATGCTAGGGTTAAATATCAGGTTGGGACTGGACGTCTAGTTCATTATCAAATGCGCCGCTAAAAACTGGCTCGATTGACAAGCGCAGAACGCCGCGCCCAGCAACAATTTCCGCAAATACCATACAATTTCCGCATTGCGCAGATAATTTCATGTCGCGTGTGTCAACCAAGGTTGGATGAAAGCTTGGCCCTGGCTTCAAGTAAATGATATGTGCGACAAAACGTCATCAAGTTGCACGCTTCTATTTCATAAATTCAATTAAGCAGCTAGCCTAGCTCCTGCGCAGTCTTGTTAAGCAGAACTCCTGTCTACCAATCCGCCTGGGTCTTATTTGCCTGCGCTTGTCAGTCTGCGCTGTTTGCAGCTGTCTCCCTGTCCGGTCCGCGGTGGTATAGCGCGATCTGTCGACGCCGCCGCCGGTGAATGCTTTCATTTGTTGGAGAGCACTGTGGCCATATTGGTGACCGAACAAGGTCTCCCACCGCAGTTACCCTTGTGGCACATATGTGTACACAAATCTTGGCATTACAGTTCTCCATAGGCAAAGCCAAGCGCGCGGGCACACGTATTCGCATAGAATATTTTCGTCTATGGAATTATTTCTGCCACATTGCTCCACACACAGACACACACACACACACACACACACACACACACACACACACACACACACACACACACACACACACCACACACACACACACACACACACACACACACCACACACACACACACACACACACACACACACACACACGATTATATGCATTCACCCTGTTAGTATTGCATTCCCTAACACGCTCGTATGTTCGCATTGCATTCTATTTCATTACGTTGTCTTTCGTATAAGATATATGTCAGAAGGGGGGGGGGACAAATTTTAATATTGCTATGCCTTTTTTACACTGCTTATTCTAAGTCTTTCTTTGCTATTCCGAGCCCTCTAATTGCGAGCCCATCCCTTCCCGTGCCTTGGCAGTTTTTTCTGGCATGTCATCCCGTGCCACGAATGTATTCATACGTGGCCGTAGGCAGCTGGTCAGTGACGTGGCAGTCCGTTGGTGCATTTCCTCCGTTCCTAAAGCCCAGTTGCTGACCTGTTGGCGGTTAGATAATCGGGGCAATATGCCACGAACAATGGGTCCTGCATCGCAGAACTGCAAATTCGAAACGTCCTGCCGCCAAATCCAGACAGCTGAAAACGGCAGCTCCCACTCCGCTGCGACTATCCTACAAAGGATTCCGCCAGTTCTAACACATCACTTCTCCTCATACATCAGCTGGCATGAGTTGGTGTCACACTTCTATCTGATCCACTGCCCTTCCTGAGATGGTGCGTACCTCTCACCTTTCACACGGGTCTCTGTAGGGCTCCGCTCACAGTGTCAGCCCCCTCACCTGGCATGTCGGTCCGCAGGACCGGCTCGGCTCGGTTCCCCTGGGCTCGGGTCGAGTCAGGTCGGGTCGGGTCGGGTCGCGGTCGGTCGGCGGCCGGGCGCGCGTCAACGTAGCTCCATGCCCGTCGGCCTGCTGCCCAGGTCGGGCCGCCGCCGACGCCGCCGACGGCGCGTTGACAACCGTGTAAACACGACCGGGAGCCGGTAACGGGGGCAGTAATGAGGCGGCCTATCGACCGGCCGGTGCCGACACCCCGGAGCGGCACCGGCACCCCTGGAGCAGCGCAGGCACCCCTGGAGCAGCACTGGCACCCCTGGAACAGCACAGGCACCCCTGGAGCAGCACTGGCACCCCTGGAGCAGCACCGGCACCCCTGGAGCAGTACTGGCACCCCTGGAGCACCACAGGCACCCCTGGAGCAGCACTGGCACCCCTGGAGCAGCACTGGCACCCCTGGAGCAGCACCGACACCGCTGGAGCGGCACCGGCACCGCTGGAGCGGCACAGGCACCACTGGAGCGGCACAGGCACCCCTGGAGCAGCACCGGCACCCCCGGAGCAGCACTGGCGCTCCTGGAGCAGCACTGACACCCCTGGGGCAGCACAGGCACCCCTGGAGCAGCACCGACACCGCTGGAGCGGCACAGGCACCGCTGGAGCGGCACGGGCACCCCTGGAGCAGCACCAGCACCTCTGAAGCAGCACTGGCACCCGTGGAGCAGCACCGGCACTGCTGGGGCAGCACCGGTACTCCTGGAGCAGCACAGGCACTCCCAGAGCAGCACCGGTACCTCTGAAGCAGCACCGGTACCCCTGGTGAAGCACTGG